GCAGAACCGAGTCAGCATCTTGCTCTTCTGGCAAGCTTCTTCATCCTCCAGCTCTTTCCCTGGTCATGGGGTTCTGCACACCCGAAACCCTCCAGGAGCTTTGAGTTTGTTGGTCTCTTTTCCCAAGTAATAGGCAATAGGACAAGAAGAAACAGCCTCAAGTTGCATCAGGGGAGGTTTAGGTTGGATATTAGGAAAAGTTATTGACCAAATGGGTTTTCAAACATTGGAACAGGCTGCCCAGGGAAGTGGTTGAGTTGGCATCCCTGGAGGTACTTAAAAGATGGGTATACGTGGTGCTGAGGGAAGTGGTTTAGTGAAGTACACCCTATAAAGCAGCCAAACCTAAAAAAAAAATTAATAAAATCCTTGCAGAAGAAAGCAAGAGGTAACAACAATAAAAAAAAGCTCCTGAGGTCAGTCAAAGTTCAAGACTTGGAATAAGTAGAAAATCTATGTTGTGTGAGAAAGAGGGAGAAGTAGCCGTGATTGAGAGAAAGGAGGCAAAAGGAGACAAGATAAATTGTGATTATCTGGTGGAATCAAGACACTTAACTGCCCTGTCTGATTCCTGAGGGGAAACAAATGGAGCCTATAACTTTGCACTGCAGAAGGATAATTTGTCCCTGTTTCTTCAGCCCGCGGCAGAGCCAGGTCGGCACTTGGGCTTGTGGCTGCTCAAGCAGCATCCTCAGAGGGGTTTCTGGCAGATGTGGTGCTCCCTGGGCTCTGCACGCCCCGTGGGAGTGGGACCTCTGCTTTTTGATGGTTTCCCAGTGATACAGACACTTATGCAAAGGTGCTAGGGCTGCTTTTGCAGTTCTTTGACAATTCCTGTGGTGCTTCCATGAAAGCCAGCGTGGAGTCCAGCCATGGAGCTGAGTGTCACTGGGTGGGGTGAAAGTCTCTTGGTCTGGTTTCATCCATGGCTGGTTCGACAGCACCTTCCCTGGGATCACCTTGGAAAATGAGATTTCTTGGGATCTGATGAACGGTGACCACAGCCCAGATATTCCAGCTGCGTGTGTTTGCCTTGTGCTACCCACAAAGTCTGCTCCTCCAACCCTGGTGGGGTCAACTGAGAGCAGGGGAGAAAAGTAGGATTAAATAAATAGGTGTTAAAGGAACCGGGTGGAAGGTAGCTCCCACAAACTTTTATCTTGGACCCCCCAACCTGGAGTCTGATCACAGAGGTTGAAGGAGCCCAACATGCTCTGCTGTGGTCATGTCCCACTCCATCCTGCGTGCCTGGCTTACGCTACCTGCTTAAATTTAGCTTGCAAAAATCAGAATAACAAACGGCAAAGCAGTTGTGAAGGCTCATTTCTTATTCCAGAGTTCGGTTTCTCATTATCTTATATTTAATTTGTTACTTTGATTTGTATTCTATGCTTTCTTTATTATTACTTTTTTCTATGATGAATTGGGAGGTGCTCTTAAGTTGGGATGGTGATTGCTGGCTGATGGACAGGTAAGGGAATGGGTAAAATAGCTGTTAGTGTTTGGTGCCTCACTGGTGAGGGTTTGTTTAAGAAGGTATTTTCCTGTGATACAGGAGAACAACATGCAGTTTAGAAAAAAAGAAAATTTGAAGAGGGTATAGGAGCTGAATGTTCCCTTCCCTCTTCTTTTGCTTGCTGAATCTGTCCTTGATTTTGATATGCCTGGACTGGAGAGAGGACAAGTCCAGCGTGCTTTTTCCCGGTTTCCCAAAATCCCAAGGTGCCTGTCTGCGGGTGGGATGATGCACTCTGCCCAGAAATGCCTTGCCACCTTCTCCAGGCTATCCTGAATTTAGGAAAGAAATTCCCTGGTGGTGGGAGGTAACTGTAAGGCAGAGAGGCAGAGAAGAGTTAAATGTTCGTTTGCTGGCTGATTTCTTTGTGCAAGTGGATTTGCAGCGTACACACCATGAATGCCACTATGATTAGAACTGGCTGGGACACGGTTTTCCTATTCAGCAGGATTTTGAAGATTGTTTCCCTTCCACTGTGAGTTACAACTGAGCCCGAGACCTTTTGGGGTTTGAAGTATTTGCAGTTCTGGAAGGAATTGCAGATACCCTGTTGATCTAGGGGTTTTGTATGAGATGTAAAGGGGGAAAGTCTCTTTCTCCCATTAAATTTGGCAGAATGGAGGCACGACCCTGGATTTGTCTTGTCCTAATTACTGGCTGTCACTGTCATGGGGATGGTCATAGTCTTGTCCATCTTCTGGGGCAAAGAAACCTTTGCTAAGCATGGATTCAGATGTCCTGCAAAATACAACCGAGCTAGCAAAGGTTTTTATATCAAGGTTCTGAGGTTTGAGAGTGCAGGGTCAATCCAGTGTTGGCTTCACTGAAGAGGTGGGAGCATTGCAGATGAACCAGCTGATCTCAGTGATTTGGGGGGACTCTTGCTTTTGGGTCTTTGTCCAAAATGTCTTTGATCACGAGCTGTCCCTCACCTGCAACTGTGTTGGTGGAAGGAATTTTTTTTCCAGTGGTAAACTGTACTTGTTCTTTTTTTTAAAAAAAACCCTGCTATTCCTTCTCCAAATAGAAAATTGTCTGGGTTTGGGCATTGAGTCTTGCTGTGTTTTCTTGCTCTGAAATAGTCATCATTTAAGCATTACATTTTGTCCTCATCATAGATGTGCTCAAGATGGCCTGAGTCATCTCGTTCTTTGTCATAGTTGAAGCAGTCCAAGATTTTAAAGTCCTTGTCAAGATTAAAGTGTCTTTGCTAGCTCTTGAGCATTTGTGGCTTCCTCTTGCACCTAGTCCTGAAGACCATGCAGCCAGCCAAGAAGCTTGCAGAATTGCAGCCGTGGCATAACAGGTTATACAGCCCTAAAGTCGCTCCTCCAAGTGCTCAGATTGTACTGTGACTCTGCCAGCCAGGGCATGGAAAGAGCTCCTTGTGTGCTTGGATCCCTGGTCCTGCCAGAATGGCTGTTTCCAGGATAGAATCACAAAGTTGTCTGGGTTGGAAGGGACCTTCAAAGTCATCTAGTCCAACCATCAACTTAACTCTGATAAAAAACCATCACTAAACCATGTCTCTAAGCACTATGTCAGCCTGGCTTTTAAATACCTCCAGGGATGGGGCCTCAACCCCTTCCCTGGGCAGCCCATTCCACGGCTTCATAACCTATCAGTGTAAAAATTACACATACTATCCCATCTGAACCTCCCCTGGAGCAACTTGAGGCCATTTCCTCTTGTCTTATGATTTGAGAGAAGTGACCTGTGATGTCCTCCTCTGCAGTGCTGGTCCCCCAGCCTTTTTCAAGGGCGTTTGGAGCAAGGTTGTGAGAACAGATTTTTACCAAACAAGCCCAGATTACCAATCATTTCACCTGGCTGCTTGGTCATCCCTGTTATTTGCTGTACTGTCGCCTGAGTTTGTACCGACAGCAGTTTTACATCGTGCTAGGATGTCCCTCAATTGCTGTCGGTGGCCTTGGGACCCGTCAGGCAGCTGGGTCTTCGCTCGAGTGCACTTCATCACTATCATACAGTGCTAAATTTTTAATCAGAAAGTCACGCAGTGCTAAGTCAAATGCCTTACAAAAGTCTATTATTTCTTCGCAGTTACCTTTATCTGCCAAAATTGTAATCTTATCAAAGTACAAAATCAGGTTTGTTTGACAAGGTCTATTTTCCATAAAATAATGTTGACTGGCATTAATTATGTTCCTATCGTTTAATTCTTTATTATTGGAATCTCATATCAGCTTTTTCCATTATTTCAGCTGTGATTGATGTCAGGCCAACTGGTTGGTAATTGCCTGGGTCGCTCCGCTCACCAAGCTGTGCCGCCACATTTGCCCTCAGGCCTGATAGAGCTTCCCTCATCTTCCCAAATGGATGAAATTTTGGCATCCGTTCTCCTTGACCAGATGTTTTGGGACTGTAGGGTGCTCTCATACCGCCGAAGATGGTTCATACAGAGCTTGTTCCCCTCCTCCATCCTTGGGGCCAGGTGACCAAGAGATCTCCCACCCTCATCTCCACCCACCAGTGTTTTTCGTCCTATTTTCTCCCCTGTTCTGCTGAGGGTGGCTGGGTGGGTGACAAGCAGCCAGCCATAGTTGATCTACCACACTAGACTTTGAACACCCTCAGAGGTGTCACAGAGAGGCCCAAAATGATCTGAGGAGGCTCTTATGGGGCTGAAATGGATCTCCAAGGGTGGTGGCTGTCCCTTGCTTTCAGACTAGTAGAAGCCATCCTACTCTGGGAGCAGGGTGGAGTTCACAAACAGGACACATGGCTCCCATGAAGCAACTTTGGAGGGTCCTGGTTACCTCTTGGGCATAGTCAGGAGGAGACATTTGTGACTGCATGCCCGTGAGAGATGGCCGAGTAAGGCTGTTGTTGGTCAGGGTATTCAAGATGCTGCAGAAGATGTTTTCAAAGATGATTTGGTAGAAGGTAGTGAAGGATTTGTCCTAGCATCTCACTCTCTCTGCCAAAAAGACCAACACTTGTGGCAGCTGCTGTGTTCAAAACAAAGCCCAGGTTTGTGTCTGCCTCCAGGCCCTACCAAACCCCTAAGCCTTGAGGTGCCCGTGGGCATCGTGTCCATGCTCTTGGCCTTGGGATGTTTTTTTCCTGGGACCTTTTCACACATGTTGTATCTTGTGGTGTTGCCCCTCAGTGGGGGAGAGCATGAAGGAGGCTGGTACGTGCTTACCCAGAAGAGGGGTGAGTTCCTCCACTGCCTCTACTGCTTGAGATTGCCATGTTTCTGCTGAGCTAACGTGACTTTCTCTTCTGATAAGGGCAAGGGAGGAGAGGAGCTGTGGGTACAATTGATCTGTGCTAGAGAGAACAGTAGGACAACTCAGCTTGGCTCCTGCTGCTGCTGTAAAAATGTTTGAAGCATTGTGGTACCATGGGAAAACAGTTTGGGGATGACTTAAGGGAGAAAAGCAGAAGACCTGAATATTTTTAGGATTTCCCCTATATCCTGTATTTCATTCATGATTTCTTTCCTCTCCATCTCTCCCAGGCTCCTCGGTGACTCAGCTGTTGGCCCGGGACCTGGACAATGACCCGCTGGTCTTCGGTGTGGTTGGGGAGGAGGCCAGCAGGTTCTTCGCGGTGGAGAGCATGACCGGCGTCGTCTGGCTCAGGCAGCCCTTGGACAGAGAGGTAATGCCTCTTTCTGCTGGGTGGAGGGTAAAAAACCATCTCTGCTCACATAAATGGTAACCCTCCACCTTCTGTGGCAGCTTGGGTGTTGCTCCCCTGAAGAGCTGGGAATCCTCCAGGCATCTGATGTGTCCCCATCGGAGTCTGTCCCCAGCTCAGTGGGGACACAGGGAATAAGCAGGGAACTCTGGTTCCATCTGGCTTGTTGGTTTTCCTGGATCCCAGAATAACATTTACAAGGTTAGAAGTAAAGAAAACAATAAATGAAACTGATCTACCAAAGATCAGGACGTTCATACATTCAGGGAAACTTGCAGGCTCCCTTTTTAAACCTATATTCCAACGAAGTTCTTTACTTGAAACTGATCTACCAAAGATCAGGACGTTCGTACATTCAGGGAAACTTCCCTCTTTAAACCTATATTCCAATGAAGTCCTTTACCTCACATCTCTTCATACGCTGCTTGTTCAATCTCATAATGGCTTTCCATCATCTTGTAGATTCGGGCTGCCGGATTTGGCAGGATTTGGCAGGATTTTTGCCTCGGAGCTGTTGCAGTGGTAGTTTTGGTGTGCAAAGCTGATATCCCACCCAGGTGCCTGGACCTTGCCGCGTTCCTGGAGTGAGGAGGAAGCGATAGCGCAGGTGCTCCGACGTGAGCACAGTAAAACTGAGAAAATACTGTGTTACTTGGGGAAACGTTCTTAATTTCCCCTGTGTTCCTGGTGCCCGTGTTTTGTATTTCCTTTGCCAGCGGCAGCGCCGTGAAGATAAAGCCCCATTAGCACACCTCAGGCACTGGTGGTCCCTCTCGGAGCCGGCCAGATGTGAGGATGGGGAGGAGCGGGGTGGGGGATGCTCCTCAGGCTGGGGGAGGGCAAACCCAATTTCACAGCGTTAAAGAGCGAAGCTCTGGAAAAATCAAACCGTTTTTCTTCACCCCTCTCCCCTCCACCTCCCTGTGCCAACAGCTGCCGGCGTGAGTCATAAATCTTCCCTTATTCAAATGCCTACAGCTTCCCAATACTTGTGATAACAGCCTTAAGCCAGGGAGGGTGATCAATAGATTTTTTTTTTTTTAGGTGTCTTTTGGTGGGAGGTGGGAAGGGAAGGAGCTGAGCAGAGCATGCACCAGGAGAGGAGCCTGCACCCATCAACTTATTTCAGGGGCTCAAAGTCAGCAGCGCATGGAAGAGGGTGAAGACAGACCTGTGCATGGCTTGGTATGGACACAGGAAAGGTGTAAATGGTGATTTATGGTGGAGGAGGGAGCAGGATGGCATGAGAGGGAAGGGATGGAGGTGGGCAGAAGATGCCGACCTGGCTGCATGCGATGAAAAAGTCAGGGGAGAGAAAGGCATCCAGCAAAAGTGGAGGGGAAAGAAAAGCAAGAGAGAAATTCTTGTGCAGCGGAGGAGAAAGAGAGAGACTCGAAAAGGGAGAGGCAGTCCTGGTAAGGTAAATGATGCAGGAAAAGGGAAAATAGATAAAAAGAGGAAGGAGTGAACGTATAGTGGCAAAACAGTTTTTGAAAGATTTTTCGCTCCCACAAAGATCAGAAGGAAAACAGGTTTTTAAAAAAAGACACACCCTGAGTCTAAAAAAGTATGTGCTAAAGTGAAGGGTAGAGACATAAATTAGCATGTGGCAGCTTTCTCTGATTATTTTATCAAGCTTTTAAAAGTGAATGCTCAACAGGTTGTTTCTCCTCTCTTGTTTTTACCTTGTTTTCCTACTGCTTTGTCCCTTGTGGTGGTACCAATGGGTAGGGGGGAGCGGGGGTGAAAGATGCTGATGCATCCATCGATATTTCAGCTCTTCCTTCTGCCTGCAAGCATTGCCCCGAGGCAGGAGCCTAGGAAAGGCTTTCTCAGGTTAAATTCCCCAGTTGTTTGGACTGGGGGGATTGGGAGGGGACAGATGTGGGGGCAGGAGGGGTGGACGCTCTACTGAGCTCTTCCCCAAAGCCTTCTCCAAGACAAACTGCTACCCTGGTGCAAGCAGAGCTCCCAATCTGGGTACCAGTGGCTGCTGCTGGTCCCTGAGCTGCTCTGATGAGGAATAAATCAACCAAATCTACAGCACAGAGAGCCATTTCAAGCTTCCTTTCCTGCTTTTCCTGCATGATTTTTTGGAAACATCAGGTTGCTGTGCTCTAGCGACTCGGGGTGGGAAGGGATACAGGAGAAAGGAAGGAATTGCTGGGACTAGAGGAACCAAAATGCAGATCATGCCCAGGTGCCAGATAGGTGTGGTCCATCCCTGCATGATTTCTTGGTAAAATGTGAGCAAAACGAGGGTTGGTGGAAAAGAAAGGTCAGGAAGAGAAGTTCTGCCTCCACTGGCAATATTTCCCTGCCCTGCCACTAAAATAATCCCCTCTTCCCTGCTTGTCCCTCACCCCAGCACCAGTGACTTCGGTATATTGTCATTTAAGACCAAGCTCTTAACTTCATTAGAGCAATTAAGGGGCAGAGAGGCCTGCATAGGTGTTTTTTTTTATTTTTATTTTTTTTGAATGGGTTTATGGCATTTCAGCAAGTTCTTACTACAGACCCTGGGCTTATCCCAGTGTTCACAGCTCTGTGACATTCCAAGAGCTGCTGCTGGGCAGGTACGTTTGGGGAATCAGCTGCAAGATTTAGGCGCCCTCGGTGAGACCATGTTGGGTTGTCATCTTGAACAAAAGCTAACGGCACAGCTTTTTTTTTTTTATTTCCTTTGGACTTTCCTCTCTTTTTGCATCATCCCTGTATCTTGCGGCGGGAGATGGTGCCGGGTTGTGGTAACACCGTGGGTGGAAAAGTGCTTTTCTCTGCTTTTCCACTTATTCCCTCTCGCTGCCTGCGGCGTTGGGGATGGGGAGGGTGTGCAAAGAGAGCTGGGGCTTGCTGGCACACCACAGAAGGTTAAACAGCGGGCTCCTCTTGTCTACTTTAGCCCAGTTAGCTGTTTAAAGCCCTCGATTATTAGTTAGGGAGTGGGTTCCTTAGTCCCCACGTCCTCCTGACCCACGGCCAGGCAGCTCCTCGCCGTGCCCGTGAAACACTCCGGAGCCCCGCTGGCACTGATATTTCTCTGCATTTTATACTCAACGCAGGTAATTGCACTCAAGCACTTCTCCTCTTCTTGAAGGTCCTGAAAGCATTTTGCATGTAATAATATTGGCTAACAGTCCCCAGCCTGCCATCTGCAGATAAACACTACAGTATCTTTAATTATATGTTTTTCTTCTCCTTCCCTTTCAGACCAAGTCAGAATTCACGGTTGAATTTTCCGTCAGTGACAGCCAAGGGGTAAGTGTGACTTCTCATTTCATGGTCTGCGGCACGGGCAGGGGAAGGGAGCGGGGAGGATGAGTGTGGGTTGCCAGGGGACCTTCTTCTGCCTTGTGCTGGTGGGGGTGGATCTGGGGAGCGGGACCACGGTCGTCGTTTGCCAAAAACCCAAGTCAGAAGAAGCGGCTGTAAGCTTGCTTTAGGTTTTAAATCCATGCGTGAAGCTGACACCCCTCTCCTGATGTCATCCTTGTGGCCACAGGTGATCAAAGGGACAGTCAACATCCAAGTGGGAGACGTGAATGACAACGCCCCCCAGTTCCACAACCAGCCCTACAGTGTCCGCATCCCAGAGGTAGGGATCATTGCCGCCGCCTCCCCAGGCAGCCTGCCTTCTGGCTCTTCCCTCAGTGGCCACACTTACTGCCTGGTTGCCACCACAGAGCTGGATGCCCGGCTAGCTGAGGGCCACCAAAAGTTACGGGACTGTCCTCCTACCCTCACTGTGCTCGGAGGGAGGATTAAACCTCTGGAGGTTGTTGTCTGAAAACAGGCAGAAGCAAAGTGAGGGCATTTTGGGTGTTGGGGGAAGGCAAGTGGAAGAGAAGGTTTGGAGATGGGAGCCTTTGCAGGCTTGGTGACCTCTTTCCCATCACAAATGTAAAGTTTGAAAATGGCTGTAAATGAGAATCTGTTTCTTTTTCTCTTCCTTTGAGCCGGGGGGGATGCACAGCTCTTGTCACAGGGGTGACCTAAGGTGGGACTAAATATTTCTCCAAATGCCTGATTTCTGGCAGAGTCCTGCCTAAAGGCTTCTGCCCTTGCTTGCTCATGGCTTCCTTTAACACCTCCATAGCAGGACTTGTCCTGTGATGTTTTAGGAATAAAGTAGGTAGGTAGGGACCACAGAAGATCATCTGGCCCAGGCTCCCACTAAAGCAGAGGGAATTTTTGTGTTCGATCAGGTTGCTCAGGGCTTTACCCAGCCAATTGTTGACTATCTCCACAGATGGAGTTTCCACAACCTCTCTCTCTGTGCTGACCACTGCAGAGGAGGTGACACCTAGTCAGACCGTCGGGGAGAACTTTTGCACCTAGAGCTCAGCTTAGCAGAAAAAGGCTGAGAACTTACAGATCTGATGGGTGTTTAGATGAGGAGCAAAAGGTTGTTGCTGGCGTTAGGAGGACAAGGTCGGAGTATTATATTTGAAACAGGGAATTAGTAGGGCGTTTCACCTTCTCCAGTGGAGGAAACCTCTCCCTCTTGCACCCATTTTTCCCAGAGCATGCCTCAGGGTGTATATGAGGCCAAGTGTGCATCTCTGTGTGTGAAATCAAGCAGCCTTCAGCAACGGAGAGGTGCAAACGATTGTATTACAACAGTTTATTTAATATGCTGACTGCTGGTGCCCTGCCGGGCCGGGCTTTGATCTTTCCCTGTCCCTCTGCTGCGAGGATGAGGTTTCTTCATTAGGTTGCTTGTGATCTATGAGCCGGGGAGTTTCAGTCTCATCCTTGCGCCAAGTCATCTGAAACCTCCCTTTGAGAATGACACCGGGTCAGAGTCATTTCTTCTCCTCTTTAAAGCACGAACGGTGCAGAAATGAGTTGGCAAAAGCTCCGTGAGCAGCTCCTTGCTCTCGCTTTTCTCCTCGGGCTTCTGGAACCTGATGGGTGGCCACCTCTCTGCTGAGGTCCTCAAAGCCAAAGGACATGTCAGTAGGGCTGAAGGAGAATAGTCTCTTTTCCCCTGCCCTCAGATTTACCTCTGGTTTTGCTATTTACAGCACCTGGTAGAGAGAAATCCATTCTCCATGGGGAGAGAGAGGTGGAGGGGTTTCTGTGTCTCCCCTGGGAACTGGTGCTATGTTGAGCCCTAGTGTTTCCATACCTGGAGCAGCAGTTCCATTCCTCCTCTTGTTCTCCACTTCTGCTCGAGGAGCTGATATCACAAATCTCTTAAGCCTCCCACATTTCTGATCTTAACCTGTGTCATGCCTGGGCAGCCAGGAGGGCAAAGGTCCAGCGCTGGCTTGGAAAATGAGGGCTGGCTGAGGAAAGGGCACTGCAGGAAAGGTGATCTGGGCAAAAAAATAAAGAAATAAAAGAAGAGGGAGGAGGCTGAACCCCAGAGCCTGCCTCTTGCACGTCACGTTGCTTTTCCTGCGAGCTGTGCTTTTGCTGGGAGGGATTTCCAGGACTGTCTAATTGTTTGGGGTACAGCGAGCACGGTGCTCCCCCCAGTGCACCCTGTGCTCTGCCATTTGGCTTCCAGAGCTGTGCTTTTCTGGAGGGTGGCCTAATCTAATTAATCAGGCATTATGTGCTGGTTTCTAGTTTCTACCCATGATCTTTAACCGAGGGCAGCCGATCAGAGGTAATGAGCCACAAACTTGTTGCTCAGCCAGTAGCCTGGAGGCACTTCTGGTCTTCTGCTGGAGAGACAGCATTTCCCTGTCAGATGCTGTGAAAGCAAGGGATGGTGTCCCACCACCTAAGGACGATCCTCATGGGACATACGAGCAGTCAATTTACTCTGTGTGTCCTGGCATGGCTTTTGAGGAATAGATGCCCTCTTGCTTTGAGAGCTTTGCTGGGCCACAAGTCGTCCCCGTTGTTTCTCCACGAGTATTCAGAGCTGGAGGTGAGGTGGCACGGAGATGGACCTTCAGAAGCTGAGGTCTCCTGAGCCGGGGGACACCTTGGATGCAGTTGAGGCTGGGGAGCCAGTCATGGTAGGGGGGTGACAGTGTCCCTGGGTCACCCCCACGCTCCAGACAGCTCAGACCAGGGTGAACAGCGAGGACATAGGTAGCAAAATAGGTCTCAAAGACCACCCAGCCCAAGCTGAAGGGCCTGTAGCTAATGAATAAACAGGGGCTGGAGCTTGGGGATGGAGAGCAGGCTAAGCAGAAGTGCTAGTGCGGCTTTGTAGAGGCTGGCTCTGTGCAGAATTGGCAGCTAATGAGGGTTTTTCTCTTTTTAATTTTGAGATAAATGGGTGTATCGATTTGCAGTTGTCCTAGCTAATGGAGCAGCAACAGCAAGGCTATTTAAACCTCACCGCTATTGTGTGGCACTAGGAAAGTCAAAAGAAGAGTGTGCATAAATAAATGGAACATGAAGTAAACTGACCTTTAAAAACAATACTGCCTCTAAACACCCTTCCTGGCGTTTTATACAGTCTGCTTGATTCCAGAAGGGGAATTCATTTGGGCACAGGCTCCGGAGGTGATTCCTCCAAGTTTAACTGTGGGCTCCTCCGGGGTGGCAGCGGTTCCCAACACCAAAAGTGGGGATGACTCCTGTGCTGGGCTGATGCCACTCTTCCTCTGAGTTTGTTGTGTCTTAATTGCATCCCTGGCACCCTCCTGGAGGAGCCGAGGGAGGGCCCACGTGTCGGGAGAGCAACGTGTCTCCGGAGTAATCATCCGTCCCGTCTGGGCAAGGGCACCCCGTGATTTGCTTGTCAAAAGGCAAAAAGAAAAGGGGGAATCCTGCTCGAATCGGCAACTTAATTCACCAAGCTGGCCTCGACAGAGCTCATTAAGTTCTCGTGTATTCATCGCAGGCTAATGGCTGTCATGCTGACTGCTGTTTGATTTGCTGTAATGGACTTTTATGGCTTTCCAGTTTGTGAGGACGCGTGTGTGTGCCCGTGTCTGTGCCCCGTGGTGCTGCTGTAGTACATTAGTTAGCCGCTCATGTGCTTGCTACTCTGACCTTCAGCGCTTGTTCTCCTCTTGGATGCGTCCCTTTGCACTTCGTGTTCTTTTTGACCCTCCTCATCCTCACCTACCCCCAGGGTACCACGTTTCTGAGCATCTCAGGGCTGGGCTTTTGAATCGGGAAAGATATATTGCTGTTGTGGCGGTGCCTCAGTTTCTGACAAGTCCAATCTGCTTTGTCTAATCTGTTTTTCCATTTGACTGGACCTTTAGGAAACTCAGTCTTGTCGGATTGTCAGGGTTCAATGGGTTTATGTGAAGCGAGCAAGTGAAGTGGAGCCGAGCCCCCACATTGGTTTTGTGGCACCTGGTGTGGTGTTGGGATTGGGGTGGACCCTTCCCAAAGGTGCCTGCTAGGCTTTCCTGTCCCAGCTTCCAAGCATGAGACCTTCTAGGGCACACAGCCCTCCATTTGCCTTTGGAGGGAACATCACAGAATCACAGACTGACATGGGGTTGGAAGGACCTCTGGAGATCATCCAGTCCAACCCCATGCCAAAGCAGGTCCACCAAGAGCAGGTTGCACAGGAATGTGTCCAGGTGGGGTTTGAATGTCTCTAGAGACAGACTCCACCACCTCCCTGGGCATCCTGTTCCAGGGCTCTGCCACCCTCAAAGTGAATAAGTCCCTCCTCATGTTGAGATGGAACTTCTTATGTTCAAGTTTGTACCCATTCCCTCTTGTCCTGTCCCTGGGCACCACTGAAAAAAGACTGGCCCCATCCTCCTGACACCCACCCTTGAAGTATTTATAGGCATTGGTCAGATCCCCCCTCAGTCTTCTCTTCTCCAGACTAAAAAGACCCAAGTCTCTCAGCCTTTCCTTGTAAGAGAGATGTTCTTGTCCCCCCATCATCTCTGTAGCCCTCTGCTGTCCCCTCTCCAGCAGTTCCCTGTCCTTCTGGAACTGGGGAGCCCAAAACTAGACACATCCTTTAAGCTTATGCTTCAAACAGCATGGCTCTGCAAATTGCTCTCCTTCATCTGCTTCTTCCAGGTGCTATGCCATCTACAGGACCACATCTTGGGTCCTGCAGAAGTTCCTCAAACACTGAGGCCATTGTGTGGAGTGGTAAGAACATCGAGTACCTTCTTGTAAAGAGCTCTTTTCCCCTGTAACTCCCCCCAACACCCTGAGCCTGCTGACCAAGTTCAAGTTCAAACCATCCGTGGTCTTCTCTTGGTCCTGGAGCATTGTCAGTCTTTCTGTGTTGGCAGAAAAGTCACTTAATTGCTGGTTTCTTTTCTGAACGTTCCCTCGGGAGTTTTCCAGTGGGGTTTTCTCTCCTTCGGTGTTCTCCCCACCTCTCTCCTGTTACAGTTAACACGCTGAGTGATTTATCAAGTAATATGTTTTATTGGGTTACATCATCCAGCAAAAAGCTGTCCTCAGGCAGGCTCAGGGCCAGAGACTGATGTTTAGCACCCCAGCCCTTCATGAGATGACAGTTGCACTATGAAAAACTATCTGTAACATGACAGGAAATATTAATTATAACGGGGCTCTGTTTTCAAAAGGCCCCCGCTGCATCTACAACCGCAACCCTCCGTGGTGGGGATGGGCTCATCTCATCTTGAGTTCAAGCGAGCACCAGTAAGAGGCAGGGCTGGGGGAAAGGAGTTTAAAAATAGAAAGGAAAGTTTCTGGGCAGCACACAGCATCGGCTGGGCAACTACAGTCCAGCTTGCAGGCACCACGTCTCCTGAACTCAGCCCTGATTGACCAATTTGTTTTAATTGGGAGGCAGGCGGGCCCTTACCATCAACAGCAGCCCCTTCTGCTTGGGGAGTAGCCTTTGGGATTGAGCCTTCACAAGCT